GTGTACCCAACCGCCCCGCCCCGACCGACACGTCGCTCCGCCCAGCCATGCCTGGCAAAGAGGACCCCGCCGACCGGCACCCCCCCCCCGGCGCGATTTTTCGCGGACCGTCCCTCATTGCTGTCTCACGGGCACGTCCCCACGACCCCGCGGTACCGCGCGCGGGCCTCCCTGCCCGACTTTCCCTGGGCCCGGCGACAGCGTCACGTGAGGACCGGTTTTCCCTTTAGGGTATAAAGAGAAGAAAAAGACTGAAGTAAAACGTACATTTCGCAAACTAAATAACAAAACCCAAATAAGGCCTAGCCACACCACTCTTGGAAAGTCTTTTTCAAGAGTTTGGGTGTTGCCACACAGCCTCTTGAAAGTATGGGCTGAAAAATTCTTTAACAAGGCGTCAGAAAAAGGTTTCAAGAGTCACTCTTGAAACGCCCAAAATCCGAGCCTGTAACACTCAGGTTTTCAAGCATCCTTGGCCAACCCCTTGAAGGACCCTTGATTTTCAAAAGAGGTCAAGCGAACGTCTTGCAGAAAAACAAAGCCGTACGGCGTATGCAAGGAACCCGAATGTTCATCAGTTGCTGGAGTGCATCAGATCACATGCATATACACTGATTTCACGAAGTCTCACACAAAACCCAATAGAAGATGAATGAGAACCAGGAAGCTTAACTCAATTATCAAACCCAGATTGAGAGAGAGAACATCGTGAGTTCAAAATATATAGCGCTGAACAGAGTTACAAGTCTTCTTCATTCAACATGAGTTCCACGCMTGGCGCTCATCAGYGCCAGCTGCCAGATGTCAACAGCGCTCAACAGGTAAGTATCACCATAGCTCTCACTTCCCCCCTCTCTCGTCTGCCTTCTTCTCTCTCTCCCTCTATGTCTATAGTCCTGGTCTACCCTCACTCGTCATGCATGCACACTCCCTATCACACGAGGATCTACTCTGAATACTACTCACTGATACCTTCTACTGACTATCCCTACTAACATACTAACTAGCGCTGGCGCAGCTATGGCTGCCTTCCCTCTAGCCAGCACTCTCTTCCTCCTTCCCACATAGCACTGTGCTTCAGCCTAGCGCAGCTCACACACATTTTGCGCACAAGTGCCACGGCACTTCCTCACTCTCATGCGAAGTGAGCATCTGCCAAATGGGAGGCTGGCCAGTCCTTTATAGTGCTGGACTGGTCTGGCGTGGTCTGCGTTCAGCCTCAAGTGTCCCTGGGACTCCTGCCCAGTACCCGTTGTTGCAAAGTGTGTGTCCCAGTGTCTTTTCCCATGGTCTGCTGCTGCTTTGGGCCATCGGGCCTGTCTTTTGGACTCCTGGTCTGAATCAGGACTGACTCGTGGAATTATAACTGAACTGGGACTGTAGCCTTTGACTTATTGCCGAACAGACATGACTTTTTATCGAAGAGACATGACCCTAACTCAGTCTTGAAAGCTGTGTCCGTTGCTGCTCGTGAAAGTTCTGGCCGACAGGGCCCCTCACTGTTGGGGTGTTCTTCTGGGGTCTAATCTGTAAAGGCCGTTTTACGTATGCTTGTCTTTTATGCATATCCACATATTTTGTCCACAAGAGTCCCCCTTTCAAGAGTGCCGTGCGGCGAACGGCCAAAAATTGTTGAAAACACAAACTCTTGAAAAGATCTGACAGCTCTTGAAACATTTCACGGTTTCAAGAGTGGTGCGGCGAGGCCTTAAGCAGGCCGAAGTTAGGAACCTTGTGAAATTGGTGCAGCCAGTCACTTCAGTGATGATGTCCAATGCTGTCACGAGCAAAAAGTGCCTCTCCAAAAAAAAGAAAGAAAGGAAAAGAACAGACCTCACTTCCGATGCTCATTGAATTGCCTGCAGCCTGTCAGTTGTAAAAAAAAAAAAGTAGTGCCTTCGACAGCCCGACCGCTGGCAATAAAAGAGAAAGAAAAGACAAAAAAACAAGCATTTCCTTCTGCTCTCTTCTCGCCCTTCCCATCCGTCTGTACGCCCAATTTTCCGTGGCGGTCATCCCAAATAGGAATGAGAAGATGGCGCCTGAGTGCACATGCCAGCTATCATGACAGCCAACACCTTGTCACTGTACGACAACTGCTTCCCCAACTGAGGGCCAACCTGCAGCCAACCACATCCTTTCCGCCTCTCCGTTGACCCTTTCCAACCTCATCTCCAACGCCGCCAACACCTCCTGGTGCTCGTCGACACAACAGATATAGAAACCTTCCGCTATGCGACGAATCACAACGGGGCAAAGCACAGCCTCATGGCTGCGGGCTGTTGGGAGCCGCACACACAATTCCTCTGTCGCATCCCTGAACAACCTCTTCTGCTGAATGGAACTTAGCATGATGGGCCTCATCGGCGCTTTCAACCTCGACATAAAAATGCACATCATCACAGATATGTGACTAGCAATCACATATCAGGGAAAAGAAAAGAAGTGTGGGTGACAGAACCAGATGGAATAAAGGTAGGGGCTAGCCCCTTGGTTTTTCTTAAGAAGCACATGATCATTGATTTTTTTTTTTTTTTCCCATTGGCAAAGTGGTTTTCTTTGTCCATTCGCCAGTGACATTTTTCTGATGCTTCATCAAACGCCTCTCCATGCGCCACTGACAGTTTTCTGATGCTTCATCAAACTCCTCTTTTTGCTTTTGGTTTGTCAGACTTCTATTCTCTCAATTCAGTGGATGGAAAACGCAGAAGGTGATTGAGGCGGAACGGCCAGGTCTCTCAACAATAAAAAAGAAAAGATGCAATGGAAAACTCAGAGAGAAAACTCAGCTGTGATTCGTTCCAGAGCTGTAGCAGTGGAATGGGAAGCGGAGATGAAGTAATAAGCAGTGCGCCGTGCACCATCCATAAGGGCAACACAATGGATGCGGGGCATGTAATGCTGGGGAAAGTACAGTACTCATTCCGTGCTCCCCGATTAGCTGTAACTGCCCATGACTTCGCTTTTGGCAGGCTGTTGGGACTGGGATCCTACTCAAAGGTAAAGATGTGTTATTTGTTTCTTGTCTGCAACCAACTTTGTGCTGTATTGTGCTTTATGAGGAAAGCAGCGCTGTTCGATTGCTTCTGAAGTGTTGGACGAGGGGTGCAGATGTTTGGGGTAAAAATAGAAAGATATGAATGTGTGTGTGTGTGTGTGTGTGTGTGTGTGTGTGTGTGTGTGTGTGTGTGTGTGTGTGTGTGTGTGTGAGAGAGAGAGAGAGAGAGAGAGAGAGAGAGAGAGAGAGAGAG